GTCTGAGACTGCTATCCTGTGAAAGGCCTCATTACAAGGTTGGTCCTTAGCTGGCACCTGAAAACTGGGTCTTTGGGAGGGTGCCACCATCCCCAGCAATATAAAGAGTGGCACTGTGCTTTCTTGTGCAATATTTGGTTTATGGTTTATGTTTTCCTTCTGGAGTCTGCAATTTTGATACAGGTTCAGTTGAAGGTACCTATGTGACCAGCCTCTAACAAAAGCTTTGGGCACTGAGTCTCTGACAAGTTTCTACTATAGTTGACACTCCAGAGTTGTTGCAATTTTGATGCTGGAGAAAGCAGCACACCCTTTGTGAGTGCGCTTGGATAAAACTCCTGCAATCTTGTGCTGGTGTTCTCTGGGCTTCTCCCCATGCCCCTCTCCCCTCCGCTGATTTTGCTTTGACTCCTTTTATGGTAATAAACCACAGCTCTGACTACAACTGTACGCTGGGTCCCATTAAGTCAGTGACTCACCGACCTGTAGTTGGCCTGCAGGATCCCAACACTACTCATCTCCCTGCACATTCAAATTTGTAGACTATTTTCCAGTTTCCATACTGGATCGGTATTCCAAAAAACAAACCAACCAAATTGGTAGTACCAAAGTCCAATTATAAAAAGCTTCTAATTACTTAGTTAATGGTAATTGTGGATTTACATAACACTTGAAATATTTTTTTAAAAAGATTTATTTATTTATTTATACAAGCACTGGGTATAGTCAGGCGGGGGAGGGTGAGAGAATTCACCAGAGCCAGAGCGGGGAGCAGAGCAGGCAGAAGGAGTGAAGCACACTGCTGAGGGGAGCAGCGGGCGGCAGGAGAGGTCTGCGCGCCATGTGGGACCCTCCTCCGGTGGCCGGGGAGCAGCCGGGGATCGAAATGGCGCCGCAGAGGCTGCAGGCAGCTTTGCAACCCAGCGCTCAACCTCTGCACCACCGGGGCGGTTGCTTGAAATATTTTTATTCCACATCTCAACATATAAAAGTCTCTCCACTCCGTGTTTTCTCCCCATTTTTAGGGGTCTTTTTCCTTATTAAACTCAAGGCCTGCTCTTCCCTGGCCCCATTTCAATGGAGTCTCCACTGGAACATCACATGGACTAATCCAGTGTCATTTAGTTCCTTGACCAGAAAACAACATTACTTATGAAACCTCCAGTTTCTTTGTTCTGTGTTATCTGACTAAGATAAAAAAATATAAATTGTCAAGATCGTTCATCAGTTCACTGTAATATGCAGCAACATCAGTTAATTGACTACCACAATAGCAAGGAGAACGAACTAAAGAATGACCCACAGCAAAGACTGAAACAGAAGTTTTGCAATATTAGACTTGGAAGAAACAGCTCACAGAAATTCTCATCATCTTAAACAGAATTTCTTGGCATATTTTGAGAAGCACAATAAACTGTACTTAATAGAGGATTTCAATAAAAGCCATCACCCTCATGAGGAAGGAGCTGGGGTCCAGAGAACCAGGAGATGCAGACTATATTTCTTATGTAATGATTAATTAAGTTTAGCGGTACTTAACTGCCATGAGGAAACTAGGACTCCTAGTTTAGGACTCCTATATTAATCAGTAGCCTACTCATTGTTTTCCATTTGAAAACACAACTATAAACATTTATAAAATAAGACATATATAAAATAACATATATAAAATAAATATCTTTAGAGCTCTTTATTTTAATTCCATGGTTCTTCTAATCCACCTCTGGAATCTGACATCTTTAACAAAATGTTACTTTTAAAATACCTGTTGATTTTCATGGGTTAATTATACCACATACCTTTATAAATCCCAGTCTCTAGCACTGAAGAGATGAAAACCCAACCATTCATCAAGGTGAGAGCATTCATTCAAACAGGGAAGAAGGCCTCCCTAATGGTGCAGGCAGTTGAGCACAGCGCTGTGAAGATGTCCGCAGTCTCTGCAGCATGGGTTCGATCCTGGCTGGCCAGGGAGATACCCACATGGGTTGGCAGACCTCTCCTGTCTTGCCCTCTGCTTCCCTCAGCAGTGTATTTCAGTCAGTCTGCCTGTTTTTGTTCCCCACTCTGTCTGTGATGAATCCTCTCACCTCCCTGCACATCTGTCCTGTACCCCGGTTCTGTATGCATGAATAAATAAATCTTTAAAAAAAAAAAAAAGAAGATAATGGCAGGACATTTAAAAAAAAAAAAAAAAACAGGGAAGAAGCATAACGGGGTGTTTCTGGGCTTTCCAGAAGTCAGAGAGCTAATTCTGTCCAGTATTATCAGAAAAGTCAGTGTTACTTTTCAAGAACCCAAAGTCTTATCTTCAAACTCTTAACTTTTTAATATTGGTAACTAATCATTTTTAAATGTGAGAGGCTAACAAATCTGTAACTATTCCATACATTTCAAGCGGAAACTCATGACTAAGGAATATCAGTCCCTCTGAAAAGAAACCAGGAGGGATCAAAATACCCCATTTATCAGGGAGTAGGGCTTAAGGCAGGAAACAAGCTAATAGGATCAGCTCCCTGGGCCAGTCAGCAACAGACTGGAAGGAGATCTATTCTGACCTTCGGTGTCCGAGGCTGGGTTTTTGATACTGTGACAATGAGAACTTGCTGGTTCTTAGGCAGATGAGACTGCTCCCAAGCAGACAGATATATATTTTTTTAATAATATCAGTCCAGGGCCTCCCCGGTGGCACAGCGGTTGAGCGCTGGGTTGCGAAGCTGCCCGCAGCCTCTGCAGCGCCGGTTCGATCCCCGGCTGCTCCCCGGCCACCGGAGGAGGGTCCCACATGGTGCTCCCCGGCCACCGGAGGAGGGTCCCACATGGTGCGCAGACCTCTCCTGCCGCCCGCTGCTCCCCTCAGCAGTGTACTTCGGTCCTTCTGCCTGCTCTGCTCCCCGCTCTGGCTCTGGTGAATTCTCTCACTCTCCCGCGCTTCTGACTGTACCCAGTGCATGTATAAACAAAACAAACGAACAAACAAACAAATAATAAATAAATAAATAAATAAATAAAAAATAATATCAGTCCATATTTCTAAGCAAATAATGTAGATTTCTGAGGCTTATTGGTTAGTAAACAACCATACTTTACTACTCTCACTGCTATATTTCTATTCCTTTGGTACATTAAACTCAACAAATATAACAAGTAATTATAATAATATGACAAATCATTACCATACAACAAAAATTTATTGATGTTTCTTCTTAAAATCTGTTTTAGATTTTCAAATAATTCACATACAATATTTTTATCTGAAACCCTTTTGGAATTCTGATATTTCAGATTTAACAAAAGAAATATAGCACATTTACCATCTACAACATAACACTCCCAGCTGGGACTGGGCCAGCCCCACATAACTAAACCCATTAATATTTCCGCACAAACACACACAAAAAATTCACACTGAATAAGATAAATAAAGACTAAAAATAGCCTCATCTCAGATCAAATTTTATAACTAAAAGAGTTTTTGAAGTTTTGGTCTTTAGCATTTGGGGAATTAAGGAATGGTAGATAAGGGACCTACAGCCTTGAATTCATGAATTTACAGAAGCCCACCGCTCACAGCAACAAGCCACAGCAGAAGTTAATAGAGTTGAGGACCACGGTGACAAACAATGTCATTCTGTTTGAACTGGGAAACCAAACCACAGAGAAATTCAGAGGGGGTAAAAATAACAAAAACAAAACAAAATAAAAAACAAGTTAATCGACTTCTGAAAAGGGCACTGTTCCTCAGAAATTAAATTTAAAATAGAATAAAATAAAATAAAACCAAACACCAAGATCACCAAGAATCTACTATAACCAGCTAGACAACAGCATGTGCTCAACAGGGGCAACCCAGACTCCAGTCACTGCCTAGACCCCGAGAATATTTCTAGGGGAGGAGCATGGCTGGACCTGCAGAGGTCCATGTCAGGAGGAAGAGGGGGCCAGAGCTGACTTGCATCCATGCACCTCAGCTAGTAATAGAACCTCAGCCTGAAGCACTTACAAAGCCCAGGAGCTGACTGGCAAGACACCCTCCTCAGTGAGCACCCTCCTCTGCTCACTGACCAGATTTTTAGTGAGTTGCTTCTCCCTAGGCCCTTCAAACAAACCTTGAAACAGTTGAAATAAAATAAACAAAGTGCTTGTCAAACAAGAGAAGTAGTTCTTTTGGGTCAACTTCAGTAATGTGCTGGGTCTGCCAAATCACTACATAGTTGTAATTAACTTCTACTTCATAATGATAAGATATTCATAAAAGGCAATGGACACACACACAGTTTATATGTGCAAGATTTTGATATATAACACAGCAGCATATGGGAAAAAGACATGTACACCATAAACTAGTATCCCCTTATCCATAGTTTTGCTAGCAATTTTAGGTACCACCTGGATGGGTACCTTGGACCAGTCAACAATGGTCCAAAAATACTAAAAACAAGAAGATATTTTGAGAGAGATTACATGCATGTATCTTTGATTGCAGTGTATTGTTACAATCTTCTACTGTATTATCAGTTATTGTTATGAATCTCTTAACCATGCCTAATCTGTCATTAAACTTCAGTATATGTATACATGCGTAGAATAAAACATAGTATTCATCAGTATACTATAAACATACTTTATAGTATATAAACATAGTTCCAGGCATCCAATGGGGTTCCTGGAACACATCCCCTTTGGATAAGGGGGGACTACTTTAATGAATTCCATCAGGATCTAAAAGTAACATAGGAATTTATTTTCTCTAACAAATTAATTCAGTAGGCTGACATAAAATGCATAGCCATGTATAATACATCCACAGTGAACAGACTTGTGAATAACTTCTACCCATACCTAGAACTTTATCTTTTAAATCCAAGTGATAACAAACTATGACCTTTACTTCATTATCCCAAATCTCCTTCCATAAGATTGAGGGTGGGTATGGGGGCAATATTATAAAATCATATCAACAAAGAAAGCAGCAAAAGTAAATTTTGACTGTCTCCTACCTCTGCCCGACCCTCATAGTAGGTCAACATGGACTGCGTTAATACAAAAAGTCTTTCTTTGTAGTTTAAGGGCGATGTCTTCTTTTTCTGCTGTGACCTTTTAATAAGAATCTCTTCTAGAATAGTGTTAAAATTCATCTCGGTCTTCTGATCACTCCTTCTCCAGCCATTGAAGATTCCAGTACACTATAATAAGGAAATAAACAGTTGAAATATGACATTAAAATTTTTCAAAGATCTTGAAAAATTACCTCACCGCAACTGGAGCCAATGAATGTCATTCTATGCAGCTGGATTGTCAATGCCCAGGGTACAAACACACAAGCTTATCCCACACCTTCCATCCTGCTCCTCTGTATCCCATCATGTCAAAAGACAATCTGGTCAAGGTTAGCTAAGATGAGGATAATTCAATTCTTTGTACCTCCCCAACATCCTTTCATTGTCTGGCATACTCTTCTGCTATTTGATAGTAGAGAAATAGATATCTCAAATGGAAAAGCATATTTCATTACCTGCATGGCATTTAAACTGCCTCCAGATCGTGGTATATAAAACAGATACCCAAATAAACACAGCAAACTCGTGAACAAAATGAATTAGTATGGTGGTGGATCTGATTCATCCTCCTACTTAGATAAGCTTGTAATCTTGATCAGACATCCCAGTCACCAGTCATGAGGATGTTCTCTGATATCTCTTCTCCCAAGCTCACAGATCTCTTCCTGTCTCAACCACAAGAGAAAAGGACATCCACCATGTCACCACTAACCCTACTCAGAGCAGAGCCCATGTGGATAAAAAGGTTTGCAGCCATCTCTGGAGCCCCTACATCCAAACTATCCACATAAACCTCCCAATAATTTAATGATCTGAAAACACAAAGAGAGTCAGAAAAGACCTCCTGATTCTAAATTGAGACAAATTGAATTAACAAATCTTTTCTTCCCTTCCCTCCACCACATCCTTACATGAAGTCATTGTATAAATCACAGAGGCAATAGGAGTCACACAAAGAGCAGAGGTGGTTACTTAAGAGCACAGCAGAGACCTGACACTACGTTAACCATTAAGGAATTCTACCATCTTCACACCCAACCTGATAACTCCAAGAAGCCCTGACACTATTACTGATGTGTTGTCATCCAATCAGGCCCCACCTTTTCCTATAAGGTTACTTCACAACAGCTTAACCTCTAAACATGAGTTCCTTAATTTACAAAATGTTAAAGTTTACTCCCCACTTCCCCTACCACGGTTGGGTCTGTGACCTGCACTGTAGTCTTCGCAGCTTTTCTTTGGAAGCAGCAACTCCCTTTCATTCCCTGGGCCTAGACCCCATCCAGCCACTGACATGAAGATTAGCAGTTCAGAGGAGGTGTCCTGGATTGCCTGGACTCCATGGCAATAAATTCCTCTGTGCCATAGCTGAAGACCATATCCAGGTCAAATTCAATCTCTGGACTCAATGAGTATGTGCCTCACAGTCCAAGTTCTAGATATGATCTTGGACCTGGAGCCTGATGGAGAGCTAGAAGACAACTACATGTATGTAGTTGTATATCTATATATATATATCTATATCTACATAGATACAGATATATAGAGAGCTATATAGAGATAGCTACAAATATATAGATATATACACATATCTATATATAGAGAGAGAGATAGTTGTTAACCAGAGTAACCAGATTAAGCAGGAGCTGAGATGTTTATGGATTGATCCATGCCCATCATACCCCAACCACCTGTGGCATAAGCCAGATGTGGGAAAGTGCCAGCAGGGAGACTTTGGCTACTGTTCCTGGTTACTATGAGAACCAGCCAAAGCTTCCCAGGTAAGGCCACAGTGAAGCGCTCCTGCCCTGAGTGCTCGGCCGTGTACACACTCAAGTCACTGAAGCACTCCACACGGATGGCACCTACTTCAGCACCACTTCCCCTTACATGCTTTTCATGGTACACCTGAGTTGCAGCCTTAGTGGCTCACCAACCAGTTTGTATCCCGGTTCTGATTTCAAGGTCCACTGATGGCCAACAAGCTACAGCTCCAAGAAGCAGCCACTACAGGGGCCCGTTAAGACAATTGCTGATCTCCCACCCCACCTGTCCCTGGATCCTCAACATCTCCATTTCTCTGCTCTCTCCCTTTGAGACACCCTCCAGGGTTTTTAGTTTAAATTAAAGGAGTCATTATTGTGATGGGGATAATGAAATAAAGTGGGAGAAAAGGCAGAAATGAAGATAAATGCCACAAGGTTATTTTGCTGTTTAATGACATTTGGAAACAACTTACTTATTCTGAAAACACTATACAAATGTTTATTATCATTTTTTCAAATTCTAATACTACCTTTGAAGCCCAGAGGATTATGACCTGGACAATGGTCATAATTGGTCTTCTTTTCCCCAGCTCCTGCCTCATTTTATTCATATTATTCATTTTATTCATATATCTATATAAATATATATATATACCCTCATTTCCACTGGCTCAATCTTCAAAGACACTACTTTTTTTTTAAACATTTGATATGTTTTTATTATTTTTTAAACATTTTTTATTTTTTAATATTAATTTTTTTATTTTTTATATCATTGTTCATTTTTAAACAATATTTGCTTCCCCCCACCCCCTCAGGTGTAGTCCCCATAGAGTTTCCTTCACCAATGCACCCGATGCCCCATCACCTCAGTCCCCTGTGCTCCTCCCTCCCTCCCTCTCATCCCTCTCCCTCCTCCTCCCCTGCAGGCTGTCTCTGGTTTATAATTGTCTGTTTTTGTTTTTGCGTGTTTTGTATTGCTATTGTTGTTGTTTTTTTTACACTGATGTCTTATTTGGTTTCCCTGTATTCCTGCTATAAGAGAAACAATCTGATATTTTTCTTTTTCCTTCTGGCTTATTTCACTGAGTATAATTCCTCAAAGACACTACTTTTATCGTACCATTTTACTCATCAGAAATCATCAATTTCTCCTTAAAGCCTCCCCACCATCTGCAGGATAAAATCAAAACTCCCTAGTTTGACACTGAAGACTATCCATAATCTGGCTGTAACCTAACATCCAATCTTTAATTCCACTGCCTCCCAAACATTCAACACTCTAGTCAAAGCAGTCTCCATTCATTCTCTGTCCTAGAGACTCTTCTCTCAACCTCTGAAAACTCTACTAGCTCAAACCTTTTTCATGAAGCCCTTCATGATGTCTCCAATTAATTAAAAATCTTCTGATCCTGTACTTGGGATCTCTATATCACCCATTATAGAGTTCATCATAGACATCCAAGTTCCACAACAATTAATGTACATAGTCTAACTTCTCACCAAGATTTTAAGCTCCTAAACGAAGAGTTCTCAACCTTAAGTGCACATTAGAATTACCTAAGGAGTTGTTTTGTTTTGTTTTGTTTTTTAATGCAGATGCCCAGGGCCCATAGTCAGAATATTTGAATCAATTAGTCTTCACTGGGACTAGGGCATCATGTTCTAATGTTCAGGCAGATTTGAGAATCACTGTGATAAAGGAAAATATTGAGTTCTTCCACTAACTCTTTATATCACCTCTGGTGTTTGCAGCAGCCTCTCTCTATATAAGAAACAGGATATTGAACCCAATTAATGCATTAATTATCCTAAGCTCAGACATTAAAGTTCTTATTCCTTTTGCATCTAAGTTAGTTATCCTTATTCTAAATTAAAATATTGGTACTCTTCCTCCCGCGAAACTGTCAGTGTGTCAACCACTTCCTTAGAAATCATCTTTTCATCTTTCTGTAACATATTTTCAAAGGAAGATGAAAATGATGACTTACAAGAATAGTTTGTAAAGGGAAATGAAGCTACGCCCTGGAAAAGAGGCCAGACTAGTTAAAAGGTTAAAAGGTTCCAAGTTAAAAGGTTCTCGGAAAGAATTCTTCAAGATGATGAATCTGAAGGTACGCAGGTAACTTACAACCAATTAGTACCATTAGCCAAATTTAAAAAAATTAAAATAAATCAATGCCAGGGGAAAAAAATATGTGGATAAGAAAAAACAATCACAATATATTAGAGTCCTGTTACAATTAACATTTAGAAGGTAAACAATGAATAATAATCTATTACTAATATAAATATTATGGGGGCAAGTGAGTACAGGAAACGTGCTTGCATGTGGGAGTAGGTGAAAAGGAGCTATATCCTCTGTAGTAATGGTGGGAATTCAACAGATCACACCTACAACTGAAAAAAAGCAAGAAGTGACACGTAAGCATGTCACATAAAGGTTATGTTTTTAAAAAATACAAGTGCTTGTCTCTGCGATTCAGAAACGTATTGGGAGATGGCACTGTGGAGGTATATGTCCTCTAGTTGCCTCCCCTAGAACTCTACTAAAAACAATATACCATGTCAACCAGAGAAAGATAATCCCATCTTCAGTGACACAAAAGATGACTTTCAACACCAAATTCCAAACCATGACACACACACCTGCCAAAAGCTGTGAAAATCAAACACAGAGGGGCAGCTGAGAGTGAATTCCTTAAAAGTTAGCATCATAACCCTAAAAGGTCAATCCTCTCATTGATGAGGTCAGTGAAATTCAGAGATAAGCAGAGCACAAGAAAATCGGGGAGACTTTCCACAGAATTACTATTAAGTAAAATTAGTAAAGTTTAGTCAAAATTATGATCATCAAGCTTTTGCTGTTTTACTGGGTGTTGGAACTGTTCTAAAGCATTGTTGTAAGTACTTTAGATGCAACAAAACCTTTCATTCTTTCAGCAAATCTTTTGAATAGACAGTACTACTACTGTCTATTCTTTGCAAACCACAAAGTCAGTGATAGTATATAATTCCATCTAATACTTGGTAATGCCCTAAGTTTAGTTAAAACCTTTGGTCTTAGAATTTCTACATCATAACACATTGCATTATTATTATTATTACATTTCTCATCATAGGTTTCTGACAATGTCAGTGTCTTTGCAATTTGAAGAAATCTAGCATGAATAAACATCAGACTGACATTTATGCAAGAAATCAAATGTTGTGTGCCTGCCAACAGTACTGTAGATTATATTTTAATTTAAAAGTACCTAAAATCCCACCAAGCTCTGTTCTGCCATGTATAAGCTCAGCTTGAGCCCCAGTTTGCTGTTGGAAAAGGGGGATTTACAGCAGATACAAAAAGAAAAAAAT